GATCAACAAACATTCCGGACATAAAGTCCATTCCGGAATGGCTTCACTTCCAATCATCATACCACTAACACATCTTCAAGTCTGGATATAAACAGATTCCGGACCAATCTTCACTTCGGAACACCATCTGACTTCAAAATTGACATTGGGACTTATGATTGCTAGAGGTTCACTTTCAGGTTCCAACAGAAGATACCAAAAATCAAACAAAAAGGTGGTGAATTGAAAATAAATCAAAGACTAAATATTCAAATAAGTGAAGAATTCCAAGAGCTCCATTGTGGTATCTAAAGTTGTAATTTTCAGATTATGTATCCTTGGGTTGCTTAACCAAAAATACCTAGAGGTTAAGAAAGATTTATGGAGATTGATATAGAGGGTTGCAGAAATGAGTATCATATAAGCTAAGGGGTAAAGTTTCATAAGGATTGAGAGTATTTAGGATTGGGAAGTTATTAGGAGATTTAGACACAAATATGCATATTGCGGTCTTGGTACAATGGTTGAGTTCAAAATGGATTGTTTTATGTGATGCTAGTGATGAAGGTTTGGATTAAGAATAATTAGTTTTTTGTTAGGGCAAGAAAAAGATAAGTGTGGGGTATTTGATATTGTTATATTTATACATAATTTTAGGAAATATTTTAATACGTTTTGCTTAATATTTTAGTTGTTTGCATAGATAAGTGGTACTTATAAGATTAAAATTGTATTTTGCAGCTAGAAGGAGCATTCTTAAAGAACAAGGACAAAAAGCGACAAGAGATTGAACTTTGGAGGCTTGGAGAATTAAAGAAAAGAAAATCCACAAAACCAATTGAAGCCACGTCGTGGACTTCACTCACACAACGTGAAATGGACGATTCTGGAAGATGAGTACACAGAAAGTTGAAATCCTTGTCTAATAACGATTCATCCAAATCCACGATATGGAGTGCTAATCTACAACGTGGAGTTCAAATTCACGATAACTATATATATATATATATATATATGTATATATATATATATATATGTGTATATATATATATATATATATATATATATATATATATATATATATATATATATATATATATATATATATTTATATATCCTTGGTACTTACGGGTTTAGGAGGCTGGCTGGAGATTAGAAGTTCCGGAATACAAATTTTAGAGGAAAATTAAGAGAGAAATCAAGCATTGATATTGGAAGAAGGACATAAAGATCATTACTTTACTTTTGATTTGGTACAATTCATTATGTCTTTATTAGTTGCAATTGTGTATTTGATTTTAGCTATGAGTAGCTGAATCTAGCTGCTTCTGTTAGCTCCATGAAGCTGGAACTCATGGTTTGGTTATGTTAATATAGATTTTCCTAGTTGGTTAATGTCTTGTGTTGATTGTTTATACCTAGCATGCTTACTTTGATACTAGATTACTTAAATTCATATTCTGTGTAGTTTAGTGACCATTAGTCTGCATGAATTTGATTACCTAGTAATTTATCAAACATTAGATTATTAGAGCTAAGATCGAACCAATCTTAGATAAGTAATTAAAGTATTGAAGTTAGATGTGCTGGAGAACACATATTGTGACCATAATTGTGTTTGTTAACTCAATCTTACATAACTTCAATCACATCTAATAATTGATTATGTGTTAAATTATGTATGACCATGCATAGTTCTACATAAATTAATTTAATATTAGTAAATTTGGACTTGAATTACTAGTAATACATTAATTGGTAACCAACGGGAATGGTCATAATTAATAGTTAAACCATCGAGGGAAAGTAGATTCAAACTAACAATATTGTTTTTAATATTTGATTGAATTGTGTTACAGAATTTAAGTTTGTCTAAACTTGCAAAATTAGATAAAATCCCTTTTATTTTTGTTAGAATTTTAGGTTAACTTAATAGTAAGTAGGTTAAATAATAAATATCGTTCCCTGTGTTCGATACCCAACTTTTGTCCTATACTATTTGTGAAAGGGTACACTGCCCTGGGTCGAATAGCTAGTAGAATAGTAGGTAAAATTAGGTGTAGCTATTTCCACGCGTCAACATATATATATATATATATACATATATATATATACATATATATATATACATATATATATATATATATATATATATATATATATATATATATATATATATATATATATATATATAAGTGCTGCAAATATTGGTCTAAGCAGCCGATTAATCAGCGCCTAGGTGCATGGTGGTGCTCTAATGTCGACGTTTATAGCTAATCGACCTATATAATCGGACATGGTCAAAGTCGGTCAAAGACAGAGACAATTGGGTCTACGTGGGTCTAGGCGCCCTAATCTGTCAATGCAACTCAACATAATTTAATATCATTTTTAGGGAAAAAGTGTCAAAATGTAACAATTTCTTCTAGGGTTGCATCCAATTTCTCATTCAATCATATGCAGTCGATGAAAATTAACAATCTCTCTCTTGACTCAAACCATGAACGAACGAAAGAAGTGAAATGAAAATATCTTCTTCTTCCATTCACCGGTTCATGATGTCGACTTTAGCTTTGGTTCTTCATCACCTTCGAATAAAGTCATTGTAGTCCCCTTCCAAGCACATATGACTCATATTTAAAGGACAATGATCCTTACGAAGCTTCTCAACTCCAAGTTCGAATATTCTTCTGACATCATTGTCCTATCCTAAGAAATCCCGTCGAGATCAATCACATTTTTTGCAAAGGTTAGTCTCTACTTCTATTTATTTCATTTACTGATTGTATGGAGTGTTTAGTCGTTTTTCAGTTTTAGTATTTAATTCAAATGGGTGATTGAATTTGTTCAGTAACATGAATTTGTTTAACAGTAAATTGGTTATTTGTAACATCTGGATTCCCAGGTATATTATGTAATATTTTATTTTTGGAATTTTTGAAGGAACTCGGCGAGTTGATGCTTAGACTCGTCGAGTAGGGTCGCGGATTATCATCCGGGTTCGCGTTTAGACTCGGCGAGTCCACGCTGTTTAATGAAACCCTAATCCTCCGAGGTTGGAGCCTATTTAAGGGTACTCTTAGCCTCCCATTGCGGCTACCAGTCCCTTGAGAGCACCCTAAGTGAGCTAGATAGTTTGGGAGGAAAGAGAAGCCATATTGGTCTTTCTATCTTTGGTTTAGCAAGAAGAAGGTGATCATGAGCAAGAGGAGACTGAAGGAGGTGTGATTCTAGTGGTTTCAGAGTCCAGAGACTTCAACTTGAGGTATTTATTGGACCTTCTTCAGTTTTGGTATTGATTCTTAGAGTTAGGGTTTTCTAACCTCTTTTGAGGATGATTATGTGGAGCAATTGGTTCCTTATCGAGTTTATGCTTTGGATCTGGACTCAAAGAGGTCCAGAGACCTTAACCCTTGGAGCTTTATGAGTTATCTTGGGAGTTATGAGCTTAGCATGCCATTTTTAGGGCTAAATCACCAAATCATACCATCTACATGATATATGAGTGTCAAGGTCTAGACTTTACGTGATTTTTATGCTTGGGAAGGACATATCTATGGATTAGAGGAACAGATCTGACCTCAGGAGGTCAATGGAGTTTATGCATGGCGCATACTCGCCGAGTTGTTCTTGAGACTCGATGAGTTGAGTCGGGGTAGCCCCGCGATTCTTACCTGGGGACTCGTCGAGTAAAGGGAGAGACTCGACGTGTTAAATGGGACTAAAGAGTTAAGTGGACACAGGTGGACGCGCCGAGTTGCCCAAGTGCACTCGCCGAGTCGGGTCAAAGTTTGACCGTTGACTTTGGTTGACTCTTAGGGTTTGGTCAACGATGAGGGCCTTTGAGCCAAAGGAGGGGTAAAATGGTCTTTTACCCTTCTGAGGGTGCTTAGAGAGTACGGAGTCTAGTTCTGAGAATTATATTTATGAGAGTATTACTTTATGTGTTTAGGCGGAGGCTAGATCGTATTTCTACCGAGTCAGTGATTTACCGAGATATCTGAGGTGAGTCTTCTCACTATACTTTACCTGGAGTGGTAATTAGAGTTATGTGCCAGGGTTATCATATGCTATTATGTGATGTGTTGTACTGCATTGTTTCTATGTGATTTATATCAGAGTATATCAGAGTTAGAACCGAAAGGTTCACAGAGTTAGGGCCCACGGGCCCACAGAGTTATAGCCTCGAGTGGCTAGTATGTGTTATGTATGGTATTTTGGGGAACTCACTAAGCTTTACACTTACAGTGTTATGTGTTTCAGGTACCAGTGATGATCGCGGGAAGGCACCGACATGATTCATACACACGCATGGATTTTTATGTATTTTGATCTTGGGAAATATTTTGTGAACCAAAGTTATGATACAATGGGATTTGTTTTTAAATGTGTTTGTTAAAATGCGTTTGAAAATGTGAAAATTTGTTCCGAATTTTACGGTGTTACAATATTGAATTTTAAATGAGAATTTATTGAATAGTGATTTCAGATTGGTTTGTTTAATAGTAACATGGTTTGTTAAACATGAGAATTTATTAGCATTTGGTAGCTTCTTCTGTTTAACAGTAACATGATTTTTTTTAACATTTACTGAAAGCAATTTGAGCACATTTGAAAGGAATTAGAACATGTTTTTTAGGTTAGTAATATAAAGTATTAAATTTATATTTTATAAAACTTAAATATTAATCACATTTCAACTCTTTGTTGTGTTTACATTTAGGTACATACGAGTGTTCTAAATAATCACATTTCAACTATTTGATATAATTCTATAATTCTGTGATTTATCTTTTTAAATGTCTAAAACTTATCACGCCTTGAAAAACGTCTTGGTTCCGCAAGGTTCGCCATGACTTGAGGATTGACCTTGTCGTTATGGCATGCCTTATGTCATTTAGAACCTTGGTATATACAAAAAAAACGAAATAAATTGGAGGCAAGCATATTGAACAATCTTATTTATGTTCAATTCAATGATAATTTAATGGAAAAAAAACCAAAAGCGAAAAGATACAAATATGGAGGCGCTATTAGCAAATCATTCACTCTCGGCTCAAGAATGGATTTTTGATGTAGATGAAGTAGACCCTAAAACGGTTAATAAAGATCTCGGAATCGATGATAATCAAGCACCCCGAGAAAGTCCACGAACGAGGGAACCTTCCGATGGAGATTTTAAGTCCGAGAGTGAGGAGCAAGTGTTAGAAGAAGATGAATATGAGTTTGATGAGGTTCAAATATTGGAAGTATGTGGAGAAGATTAGAAGATAATATATTTTATTTTTTCTGCTATTTAAACTTATTATGAGCTTGTTGGTTGATGATTTGGTGTGTTTTTTGAACTTATTATTATACTTTTATTTTTATTTTGGTTGGTAATTTGTTGTGCTTATTAAACTTTTATGCTTATTTACTTATATTATTAGGATTAAAGTTAGATTTACTATCTTTTGAATAATTTTCTTTATAATTAATAGTCTCCGATTAATCCAGACCAAGCCGATTAATCTCTTAACCCCAATCCCTGAGCTACCGTCGAACGTTTTTTACAATCTTGATATATATATATATATATATATATATATATATATATATATATATATATATATATATATATATATATACGTTCAGGTTCATTTGAAACCATTCTAATTTTGTGAGACCGTGAGACCAAATCTAAAAATAATTTTAAAATGCAAAATAAATGGAAAAATCCAAATTTTTTTTTTAAATATTATTTTCGGAACCTGAATTAACTAAAAAAATAAAAAAAATAATAACAAAAATAAAAAAAATCCGTTTTTTTTAAAATAAGTGAAATATTCTAATAGAATATTATACTGACATATTCTAAAAAATAAAATGCAGAATAAATGGAAAAATCTAAAAATTCTTTTTTTTTAAATATTATTTTCGGAACTTGAATTAACTAAAAAAAATAAATTCCATTTTCTTTGAAAAATACGTGAAATATTCTAATAAAATATTACACTGACATATTCTAAAAAATAATTTTAAAATGCAAAATAAATGGAAAAATCAAAAATTTCTTTTTTTTTTTAAAATTATTTTCGGAACTTGAATTAAATAAAAAAAATAAAAAAAAATAAAAAAAATAAAAAAATGCGTCTCACGGTATTACAAAATTAGGTCGTTTCACATGAACCTAACCCTATATATATATATATATATATATATATATATATATATATATATATATATATATATATATATATATATATATATATATATATATATCCACCTTCATAAAACGATGATTATGATTATGATGCAATGAACCCTACCTATCAAACTTAAAAAGGTATATATGCGTTAGTAACAAGAAAGATTATATTCGATGACAAGAACCTCACCTCATTCTTTTGCTTATATTGGTAAATAAGAAAAATAACACCCCCAAAGAAGAAAAATAACGTGTCATCCCCACATACAATTAGCCAAATATATAGAAGGAAGTAAGAGTGCCAGAGATGGCCACTAATATAGAACGAGATGCTACCAAACAAAGTTACTTAATAAATAAAGTTTTGGATGGCCAAGAAAAATACGTCACCCTTGGATTTTAAATAATGGTGTATTAGGTGCCGGTTGGTTTTTTCCAAAACGAAAATGCCTTAAACTTTTCGGTAGACTGCAACATGTAATAAAAATTATGTTTGTTTTTAATTTCTATAGACTGTTGCTATAAGTTAAAGTAAGGTGTGAAAAGATTTCAAGCAGAGGGTCAAGTGTTGCGCCACGCAACACACTCACAACAATTTTTAAGTCAGAAGTTTCTGAAAAACAAACAATTGCCAAGAGCCAAGTGTTGCACTTGTGCTGCACAACGCAACAATAAATAATCAGAAGTGATTTTTTTTAGAAAAAACAAACAAAACCTCTCTCTCTCTCTCTCTCTCTATTTGCTATCAAACTTGGACAAAGTGCATCCTTATGTCTCACACACACACACACACACACACACACACACACACACACACACACACACACATATATATATATATATATATATATATATATATATATATATATATATTAATTATGTACAAAATTACCGCCTTAACCTACACTTTACAAACGAAATGGTTCGTCATGGCTCCAAAAAACTTGAAGTTTGACGTTGTACTCAAGTCACACATTACATTATTTAGAACCAAGATATTTGGAATCATTTTTTTTAATTTCTTTGTTGAGGGTATTTCGACAAATCAAACATTAATATTATATTAAGCAATCTTTTTATTCCTTAGTTTACAACTAGTTGACACTTGTTGCTAGACTACTGTTGGACCGTTGTCCGACTAACTCGAAATTTAATGACATTTTTTGGTCATATGCACAGTTTAATAGAGGAAAAATTGTAGTTCTCATTTCGTTGGTAATACTTTTTAAGACATACTATTTCATTTTTGCTACTAAACATACAAAATTTGATAACCATATAGGATTATGTCTTGACAAATTCAAATTTCTATCATCTAAGTTGTATATTTCTTTAAAAATTGTTTATAAGGCATATTCACAATTTAATAAAATATATTAATTCAGTAATACTCAGTTTAATATTTTCATGCATACATTGTAACATCCCCCTCTTGCACGTATCACAATATTGTCCGCTTTGGACTTCCAACACGAAAACTTCCTAAGGGGTTACCTATCCCTGAATTGCTGTCGCCCGGGTATGCTTAATTGCAAAGTTCTTACAAGATCTGTTGTCCTCACAACTTTAAAACGCATTGTGATGAGGAAGGTATTCATACCCCTTATAAGGAAGGCTTAGTTCTCTCCTTCGCAGCCGATGTTAGATTAGGTGCATTCCTTATAAGGGGTGTGGATACCTTCCCTATCAAAACGCATTTTAAAGTCGTGAGGGCGGCATATACCATAAGAACTTTGCAGTTAACCGTGCCCGAGCGAGAGTAATTAAAGAATGGGTAACCCCTAGGAAGTTTTTGTACCAGGAGCCTAAAGCGGATAATATTGTGATACGTGCAAGAGGGGGGGGTGTTATAGTTGGTATTAGTGCATTAGTTTAAGAGGAATAAAATTTTTAGGAAATTTCTAGACTTAAACTTAGAATGCTAAGCTTTGATCGTGAGGAGTGTGTCTATTATATTTTAGGAAGTATGCCTGAACAGACACGAGCATTAGCTTATTTAGGGAAGATACTAAATTGCTTTTATGTGCTGAATAATTTATGCAATAAGATGCATTATATGCCTCATGATGCTATTATTTAATCAGATCTATGGTCTATTGCCGACTGGATCTGGAAATTTTGTGTGTTCAGCTTTCTAAACGTTTAACTACGTTATTAGAACTGACATGTAACTTTTCGAATTGATAAGGAGATTTATACGTATATCGTAAATAAAACTTTCTTATCTTGATTCTCTTCACTGCACACCGAACATCTAATTTGGAATATAGATCGACATGGTGAGAACACGAAGTGGATTTGAAAACTCTAATCAGTAGCTTGAGTCACGAGTGATTGAGCGTGTACCATAGGTAGTGGCTGCACCTAAGCTAATCACAATGGCATGAGTCCAAGCAATGATTCAAACTATGATGGCCGAACAAAGGGATTCGATGAGACAAATGTTTATTAATAATAGGGATAAATCCATTATACCAGTTGTACAACCTGAACTTAATGAAGAACAGCCAGAAGAAGGAAATTATAGTCAAGCCGATCCACAAGTGGTTAGAAGAAATAACCAGGATGAAGGAATCGAATGGAACCGATGAAAGTATAAAGAGTTTATGAATTGCAAACCATCAAATTTCACTGGGAAAGAAGATCCAATCAGAGTTATGGACTGGATCTCTAAGATGGAGCTAGCTTTCATAACTTGTGGTTGCAAGGGCAAGCTACAAACCACTTATGATGTGCGTCGGTTTAGGGGTGGGGATGTTCATTGGTGGAAGACTTAAGGAAAGATCATAAGCACCTATGAGCCACTACAACTCACATGGGAAGAATTCTTGGTACACTTTAAATGCATGTTCTGATCAGCCCAAAACATGATAGAGCTGGAGAACCAGTTTCTGACATTGAAAAAGGGCAACATGTCCATTGATGATTATACCATTGCCTTCACATGAAAGATGGAGTTTGCTTTGCACATCGTCCCTGACAAGCTAACAAAAATCGATAAGTATACAAAGGGACTACCATGGTAGTACACTGTGATAGTGCGCCAAACACCTACGCTTGAGGCGACCATCTAGGCTGCTTAGTCAATTGAAGAAATGATCAAAGGTAGAATCACCAATAAGGTTGAAGTTGGCGAGAAGAGGAAGTTTGAGGGATCTTCAAGATCCGAAAAGAAAAATAGGTTCCCGAAGTCTGACCCCAACAACAAGAGGAATAGTGAAAGCAATGAAGAAAAATGGTGTGACAAGTGCGAAAAGAAGCATAATGGAAGATGCTTTAAAGAGGTGACCTGCTTCAAATGCGGGAAGACTGGTCACAAGGCAATGCACGACCAAGAGAAAAGTCTGCTTTATGTGTGGTGAAGAAGGATACTTCAAGCAAGAATGTTCAAAGAGGGAAGGAGCTACGAAGCCAAACTTACCGTCGAAGCCAAATGCAAGAGCATTCCAGATGATCCTTGATGAAGCAAGTGACGATGCGAGGGACTAGGAGTAAGGATCTATATATCCGAAGATCAAGATAGAAATTTTCAATACAGATAGTATCATGTGGTGTAACCTATTATAAGAGGCCTAGTGTAGGGTGAACTTGAACATCAATGTGATCATTTCCAAAAATAACATAAACATTGGTTATGTTATTTGATGTGTCAAGTTGCTATATGATTTATCTTGTGTGGTGACTTGGAGAACTGGAAGACAATACTTGGGACAAGCATGAGTAAGTGTGAAAGATAGTAGAGGCCAATTCTACCAAAAGCACAAGACTTGAACTTGGATTAGGGAAAGTCACAAGGTTACCAAGGCGCTAGTAATTGATTCTGTTTTGTTCATGTCTGTCGTTACCATTGTTTCGGTAATGACTAAGAAGATGACTATTATTCCGACTCGGGTGGTCATATAATATCGAGTCCGGATAAGATAATTATTTTAAGTGGTTCTAAGAACCAAGTTTGATGTATCATTTGACTTAAACCAAAAGATTGAAGTATAAGAAAATCGAAGCAATCAATAGAAGCATCACAATAGCAGTTAAAGTAAAAAGCTTATAGCTAGAAGTGTTACATGCTAGAATGTCATTATACCACATTAGAGCATGAAGGAAGGTATCTTCCACTATAGAATCTGACTCAAAAAGACCTGAGTCTAAGTATTCCATCATACAATCAGAGGTTATTAGAACATCACCCATCATTCTGTTACGATAATCGACGTAAATAACTTATCTTAAGTTAAGTCTGTTAAGAAAGAGAAAAAGGTCACCAATAAAGATCGATCATGTAACTCTAAGGTTATGATTGAAATTCCAACATGAGTGTGGAAT